CCAAGTAAAGTTAATATTGATTCTTAATTGAAGCTGTCTACCTACTTTCATAGGTCTTCTTAGCATTAGATCTACTCTTGACCATGTACTCTATAATAGGCTATCTTAGCTTGGTCAACGTAACAGGAAGATTTTAATGTTTTCTCTTAATAAAATATTTCTTTTTTGAAACTGTTCTCATAATGACGTTGATGGGAAAAATTTCACTACCAAAGTGAACTTTGATTTATTTCTATTTTTTTTCTGTCCTGCCTCTCTGAAATGTGGTTCAGTTTAGAAGGAAAAAATAATGAATGGAATTAAGTGGCTGCTATAATATGTTATAATAAGCATGAAAGTGAGGAAAAAATGTTACAAAGCATTTTGCTGTAGAATCCAAGCAAAGGAAATGATTCCTTCCAGTGTCAGTGAGGAATATAAATGTATTTTAAAACATTAATGATAAAAGGAGAAAAATGTAAGTGAAATAAAGGCATATATGAGTCTCCTGCTTTTTCTGCTTGAGTAGAAGAGTGATTTTCCTTTGCTAGAAGATGCAGCCTGTGAGGTAGAGAGATGCAGAAAGAGAATCTCATTAACATGAGCTCTCCATTCTCCATGCAATTGGAAACTGCCTGCTGTCAGGCTGCTGAGAAGCCAACATATGCAGCTTTCCAGGGCGTGCATGCTGCAGAAGGCTGTGCGTAATTATTTCTGGAAAGGATCCAATGTATGATTCCATGATAATACTGACTTGTAGTCTGTCTTTATCTGAACTGATATTTCCTGTACGTATCATTTAAGCTTCTAACAGTGCGGTGTCACGTTGGGGGTGCACACAGATATTTTCTCTTAAGCTGTGTTGTGCACATTGATATCTGAACTCTGGTAGATTTCCTTTGCTTATTGGAAGAAAGAAAGAAAGAAACTCCCAACATTTGTCTTTACTTTTTTAGGGATTTGTCATTGGTTATAGCCAGTACATTGCAGCTTATGGCCAATTATACTCAATTGGTACTATATGTTCTATCTTTAAATTTCTGTTGGATGTGTTTTATACTAAAACTCCCCATAGAATTTTAGTTCCAGGATTGAAAATAAAGTGTTTTGCATGGTACCTTTTTACTCTGCTGCAGGAGAACTCACTTGTTTTTTCTTTATTGTTATTGTTTCTTAAAAATAATCAGTTTAATTCAATGAACTATATTTTCTAGATGATTTTATTAAACGCAGAGGATTCTGCAAGATTTAAGTTGATTTTTTCATTTTGTAATTTTTAATTTTAGCAAGCTCCTCAGCCTAGAGATTTAATTTAATCATTTTTACCTTAAAAAGTGATGGAGAAGAGATTATACAAGTAGATTGTAAGCAAATGTTTATAACTATTAAAACAGTTTGCTTTTGTTAATGTGATAAAGATTTGGTGTAAAAAAATTAATTGCAGTAAAMAAAKCCTGTATCATTGACTTTTTCTTATAAGACTAATGATAAACCATTATAATAAGAATCATTTCTGCTGTAACTATTTATGAATTTAAAAATACCTATGTGAATAAAGGAGTGGTTACTTTTTGTTTTCACTTTTATAATTGGTTTATTACAAATATTTTTAACGCTTCTGATCATTTACAAATATTGAATTTTGGGATTGTTCTACTTAGAGAGCTTATACCTATTTGTTATTATAATATCTGTTATTCTAATTTATTTAATAACCAAGAATTTATTGCAAATGATATGGAACTTCTTTTTTAAAAAAATATTTATTTTTTAGTTACAGGTGGGCACAATATCTTTATTTTTTTATTTTACTTTTATGTGGTGCTGAGGATCAAACCCAGTGCCTGATGCATGCTAGGCAAGYGCTCTACCACTGAGCCACGGCCCCAGCCCAACAAATGAAATGGAATTTCTACAAATTAATTGTGTCCTTTTATTTTTTAGTCTTGCCTGGGCTTTTGTATGAAATCTTAGTTCTAACCTTTCAACTTGCATACTATTCCTTTTATGCCTCTTAATCTCTAAATTATTTTGAACTCAGGTTTTTGAGCCACAAAATTTCCTCAAGTAACTATGATATTACTTTTTTTATTACTCTGCTCTTTGTGGTTCCTTTTTATCTGTCTTTTAAAAGCATTAGTTAAGTTCTACCAGGGGTGAGGGGTCATATTAGAAACACTAATAATTAGGCAATGGGACTTCATGAATAAATTGTCCAGATTCTTTTAAATTTGCTACATGATTGCCCAATTTTGAATTTTCTTTGTGTACAAGAGCATTATTATTAACTATAATATAATTTGTGCAATGTCTATATTGTCTACTTTATGAATTAGGTTGATTTTGGAGGCAGTTAACATTGGCTACCTTCTTAGGAAGCTAGCACTTCTTTATTGAATTGGGAAATGATAAGGCCTACTGTGGTCTTACAAGGTTGTATAAGGTTCTCTTTCTTTCTATTGGCCAATCTTGTTTTGCTTCCCTTGCATGTAAAAGACAATGTCTCAGTTAAATGAAGGGTAATGTATCATTAAATGGCTATTTGCAAAAACTTTTAAGAACACTTTAATATTTAGATGCTAACTATTTCAAATATCCCATTAAAAGGAAGGAAAGATTTGTCTTTGATAAATTTCTGGGACTGAATAAAAATCCTTAGGCACTCAAGTGTTTTACCCTGTAATGCATTAACACATTTATATTCCAGATAAATGTCTCAGAAATGACTGTTTTTAGGCCCACTTTAGGAAGGGCATATTTTGCATATAAAATATTATGATACAGTGACAGAATATTATAGCATTCCRTGAATGATTTAGTGAATACTCTCTCAAGTGTTTTAGGATGCCAAGTATAGCTAAATTACATTATGTACATTTGGCTTACTTATACAAAATGTATTTATTTATAGAAAAAGTAGTTTTTTGAGATGATTCTTTAACATATGTGAATAACTTCCATTGATTTTTTTCCAAGGAATAAGAAGTCTTTAATTTGGTACGAATGTGAGAGTTTTTGACAATGGTGAGTTTTGTTGCTTAACACTTTCTTTGTAGATTTATAAATAATGACTTATGTTTTAAAGTTATGCTAAAAGAATTGACTTCATTGAAGTAGACAAGAGAAGAGTGTTCACTGGGGCTGGGAGGGTAGAAGCAAAAAGGGATGGAGGGAGGTTGGATTTGGGTACCAAAATATGATTATGCCACAGGAATATATTCCAAGGCTCTGCAGCATAGTGGGATGACAACAGTTCACAAGAATTTATTATGTATTTTATAAAAAAAAACTAGAAGAGAGGATTTTGGAGCTTTCCAACTCAAAAAATGATAAATGTTTTAGAAGGAAAAGCTATTTACCCTTATTTGATCACTGAACATTGTATAGTTGCATCAAATTGTCATACTGTACTCACTAAATATTGTAATCATTATGTGTCTATTAAGAATAAGAAAATAAAGCCAGTTTATGGGTATAGGGAAAGAAGATGTGCACCATATARGGAAAATGCTTGAGGCAGTTGATGCATAATTACTTATAAAGATAGTAAATTGCTACTATACTAACGAGGGTATAAATAATGGTATACCTAGCTAAAGAGAAGCAGACATTTGTTTAGCAATTAAACTGAAATTTGCATCTTCATATGTCCAAAATTTGTTTGCTTGAAACTGCCTGTGTCATATAGATACAATATACCAAGCTGAGATTCAAAGCGCCCACTTTGTCATCATTCTAAATACACTGAACTACTTCTGAGAGTCTAAGAGTCTGGAGGCATGTGGAATTAGGAATTATTGGCATGATCCATAGGAAGAAGCCTTGTCTTAGAGCTCTAAAATTTCTGTACATGGGTGCCAGACACCAAATTCATATCTTGTCCTCCTTCGTTTTTTTAATTTGGAGTTTTAAAGGAAAAAAAAATCAATGCAGTTTGTTGATATCAGGGGCACTTCAGAAATTAGATTAATCATCTTATTGAAAGTATAATGTTTTAGTATTTACTTATTTGGGTGCTAGAAACTGAATTCAAGGCCTTACACATGTTAAGCATGCACTCCACCTACCTTGAGCTGTATCCCCATTTGTGGAAGATGCATATTTTAGAAAGATGCAAGAAAAAAGCAGGCTTCAGTAGAATAGTAGTTTTAGAAACTGTTTGCTCAGGGAAATATTTCCAAAGATTTGAATATGAATGGGTAAGTTGACCAAATACAGTAGAATAATTATTCTATAATTCAAGAATTCAATACATTGTATCATATGTAAAATAGAATGGGATTTTCCTGGTACTTCTTGTGAGCACTGAAATAAAGCTAGCAACCATTGGTAGCCAACTGTATACTTATGTTTATTGAAATTTGCCAATTGCTAACTATGTTACCATAGGCAAATTACCTATCCCATCTATACCATCAATTTACCTATACCTCAGTTTTCTCATCTGTAAATGAGATAAAATATCATCTTTCATGAGGTTTATTTTTCTTTTTTATCTTTTATTRATTTTATTTTATTCTTTTTTAAATATATGACAGCATGGAATGCATTACAATTTTCATGAGCTTTTGTAGGGTTTAAATGKATAAAATCCTTGCTCATTTAAATTGTAATTGCTAGAAATTGCTCATTTAAAGGGGAATCATATAGAAATTAAAAATATATACTGCTGGAAAGAATGCAAGCTTGTTCAATAATGGTTCATATATAAAAACTCATTCTTTCTAAATGGGGTGTGTTGAGAAGACAAGAGTTGTCCAGAGTCTTGATATTATTTCTTCTTATCACAAATTACTTCCTGATACCTTATCAAGCTTCAGAAATGTTCTTATGCTGCCTGTTTTTTGTTTGTTTGTTTGTTTAATTGATTTTATTTTTTTAAATACACAACAGTGGAATGCATTACTATTCTTATTACACATATATACCACAATTTTTCATATCTATGTTTGTATATAAAGTAGGTTGACACCAAATTCGTGTCTTCATACATGTACTTTGGGTAATGATGTCCATCACATAAAAATATGGAACTCTTCATGAATTTGCATGTCATCCTTGCACAGKGGCCATGCTAATCTTCTCTATATCTTTCCAATTTTAGTGTATATGCTGCTGAAGTGAGCAGCACCCTGGTTTATTTTTCTAAACAGCAGCTCATGCAGGGTCCTCTATATCACTTCTCAGTTTGTCTCAAAGTTCAGAATCAGGTTTGTTGTGTGTTCTGCTACTGACAACTCTTATGCAACTCTTATTATTTCTACTACTATTATCTGATTAGTTTCTGAGAACACTATTATTTTTTATTTCAATTACTTTTTCCACTTACTAGTTTTGTGATTGTACTTGGTGGTTTATAATGTTGTTTGGTGCAAACAGCGTCTTTTGGCCTCATTTATTTGAACAATTTTGATTCTAAGTTCTCTGTGTTAGAGTGTAAGAATACTGTGAAGACAAGAAGAGCATCAATAGTCACTGCTCTCAAGTCTCACAGTTTAATAAGGGAGACATACCAGAGGACAGTCACATCCATCACAATATGGTAAGAACTCTAATGGGGGCCTATAAACCAGGTTTTGGGATGGAGTATCACTGAATACTTAGGGCAATTTTTTTTTTCCAGAGAATGTAGGAGTTTCCTTCTAAGTCAAGAAAGAAATACAAATTTTAAGGTGTGTAGGTATGAGAAGGCCTGGGGTTTTCTGGGAAGTGCTGTCCTATAAAATTTAAGGAAGGGAGTACTGATAGATGTGGTTGAACTGAGGTTTAGAGTGGATTTTCTGAAAGCTATATACATGAATTTATTTTATATTTTTGCTAATAGGCAGCAATAAAACTGCTAATRGGCAGTTTTTTGAGCAGAAACTTAAACTGAGGGACAAAAATATTTAATTGGACTTTTTCTATATTTATTATTTTTTAAAAAATAAACATCACTTTGATCATACATGGAAGATAGACTGTGAATGAGAGGTTGATTTGACAACAGGGAGAAATTAAGAAGGATGTTGTAGATATATAGAGAAAAGATGGATACCTAAATTAAGGCAGTGGTAGTGAAGTATCAAGAAGGATGGATTCCAGAGATGTTTTTTAGGAAGCAAGAAAGTAACTCAGAAATGGATTGTGAGGAACAAAGAGAAAGAGAGGAATATAATTTGATTTTCAGGTTCTAGCATTGAGCTTTAGTGTGGGGGGCAATAGATACTTTGGATGCATCACAATTATTATGAACTTGAGTGACCTTATCTTGGTTTCATAATCTAAGGTTTACTATGTGATGTAGGGCTCCCAAGGGGGGAGATGATATCTCACTATAGTTTTAATTTCTGTTTCCTTGTTATATCAAGCACCTTTTCATAAACCTGTTGGTCATTGTTTGTTCTCTTTGGAGAAATTTTTATTCAAGATTTTTGCCTATTTTAAATTGGGCTATTAGTTTATTTGATGTTGATTCATAAAAAGGTTCTTATTTATTTTTGAAGTTTGTATTTTATCAGATATATGGCTGCAACATATTCTTCCATTCTGTAGGTTGCCTTTTCAGTCTGTTGATTGTTTTCTTTGCARTGCAGAAGAATTTTAGTTGGGTCTAGTCCCTCTTTGTATTTTTGCCTGTAATTTTTAGGTCATATCCATAAATCATTGAACAAGATCAAAGTCATGAAGCTTTCTCCAGAAGTATTCTTCTAGAAGTTTTGCTATTTCAGGAAGTACATTTAAACCAGTAATTCATTTTGAGATGATGGTTTGCCTATGGTATGAGTCCATTTAAAAACAATTGCTGGGCTGGGGATGTGGCTCAAGCGGTAGCGTGCTCGCCTGGCATGCGTGTGGCCCGGGTTCGATCCTCGGCACCACATACAAACAAAGATGTTGTGTCTGCCGAGAACTAAAAAATAAATATTAAAAAAWTTCTCTCACTCTCTCTTAAAAAAAAAATTGCATGTGGATATCCAGTTTTCCCATTGTCAAATGCTGGCCTGTAAAGCTTAAGAACTATCTTTTCCTTATTGCATATTATTGGAACCCTTACTGAAGATCAGTTGACCATACATGTGTGGTTTTGTTTCTGGGATTCCTATTCTGTTCCATTGGCCTTCCTGTCTGTCTTTAGGCCAATACCACACTATTTAATTGCTATTGTTTTGTAATATATTTTGAAAGCAGTATGTGTGATGCTTCTAGATTTTTATTCTTTCTCAAGAATGTTTTGACTATTTGGAGTCTATTTTTGATTCAAAATAAATTTTAAAATTGTTTTTCTTATTTCTACAAGAAATGCCTTAGGGATCTTGATAGGAATAACATTAAAGCTGTTGATAGTTTTTCTAGACACCTCTGATTTTAATCCTGTGGCTTCAGAATATTTTCTATCCCTGCAATCCTTGAAAAATTTATTGCATGTGGATATATTAGATTGAGAAATGTTTCATAATTTTGCAACAAACAGTATTTTATTTCTGAATATTTTATGCTTCATTAATCGAAAACATGTGCCACTTATTAATTTCTAATACTTTCCACCTTTCTTAAGAAATGCAGAATGCAGAGTACAAAGAAAATGTATAAAATTGGCTCAATAGCTTTGACTACGAAAGTCTCAAGAAATGACTGGTAATCAGTTTTGATTAGTGAGAAGAGGGAAGCAAAGAATAAGTTAGCTACCACACTTGTGAGTCAATAGATCAGAGTTCTCATTTTTTTTCCACATGAATGAATGAGTTTTTTGTTTTTTATGCTACTGTGGAAGAGTAAACATTAAGTGAGGACTTCAGATTTGTAACATCCTTGAAAATTTATAAAAAGAAAAAGAAATTGCTCATTTAAAGAGGAATCATATTTAAACTAAAAATATGTACTGCTGGAAAGAGTGCAAGCTTGTTCAATAATTGTTCATATGTAAAAACCCATTCTTCCTAAATGGGGTGTGTTGAGAAGACAAGAGTTTTCAAGAGTCTTGGTATTATTTCTTCTCATCACAAATTGCTTCCTGATACTTTGTCGTGCTTCAAAAATGTTCTTATGCTGCCTGGTCTGTTTTTTAAACAGCAGCTCATTCAGGGTTCTCCGTATCACCTCTCAGTTTGTCTCAAAGTTCAGAATCAGGTTTGTCGTGTATTCTGCTGCTGACAATTCTTATGCAAAAGGTGACTCAGAACCACAGAATGATGATGTGTCATGTTTTAAGTCAGCTTCTGTATGTCCAGGTCACATGTCAAAGTATCATATTGCATGGTCCATATGAAGTCTATGAATTCTTCTATAGATCAATGCTTATGCAGTGCAGCTTCTATTTTATTTTTGCAYGTTGTGATTTTTTTCCTTTAAAGATTTTGTAAGAGTGAGCAAAAAAGTCAGGGCTGGTGAGTGTCAGAGGAAAAAAAAATGCTGTTATTTACATGTTATTTTATTCATTTATCAAGAAGTGTCCACCTTATACAATTTTTCTTTTTCAAGCAGGGTAATATAAATACTTAGTCTTTGTGAAAGAAAAATCATAAAACACACATGTCCCAAGAAAAAAATATTAGTATGTTGAAACTATGATATTTTATATGAGGAAGAGATATAAATGTTGGCACATATGAAAATGTAGCTCATCTTAAAAATAAACACTTGTCTTTCAAAGAATTGTACAACACAATAGATTCAGTATCAATAGCTCTGCATAAATTATTATTATATGGAGGTGCATAAAGCACTCAACTATAATTAGAAAGATGCAAGTACATGTATGAAAATCAGGCAATTTATGTTTTATTGAAAGCTTATGGTAAAAACAAATGTAATACCTAYTGTTAAAAAATCATGTATTTGTATTTGTCCATGATCTATTTCAAGGYTAGAAATATTTAATAAAGAAAGAATCAATCTCTAATCAAAAAAATTACAATTCAAGGACAAGATAATATCATGTTTAGAACAATCAAAAATCAGAGAAAGGAACCATCATTGAAGCCCTTGTTAGGTAGTATGCATTCTTTCTTATTGATTCCTACCAGACAAAGAATTTAATACCTAAAATTACTTTTTTGAGTAGTAGCTTACCTAGAGACTTAAAATTTTTCTTTTTGATCCTTCAAAGAATTTCTGGAGCTGAATCATAAAATGCAGCTCACTCAAAGCTAGAGGGACATTTTGAAGTACAGAATGGCAAGAAATGGGTCTGAAGACAGAAATAGAAGTGGATAACCCAAGACCCTGGAGACAGTGCTAACCTTATCTGAAAGGTAGGGAAGATATTGTTACAGAATACCAAGAGTTACTACCATTCTTATCAGATGATAGTGACTTAGGTAAAGATGACTGTCTATGTGGTCAAACATGCCAAAAGAGGAAATTTATACAGAAAATAAGGTATGAATGAATTAATGAATGATAGTTATGTGTTTTTTCTATGTACCAGATACCATGTAGGGTACAAAACAAAACAAAACAAAACAAAAAACCATGTGCTGTGGTGATCACCTGTAGTCCCAGTTACTAGGCAGGAAGATCACTTGAGACCAGAAGTTTGAGACAATAGTAAGACCCTGTTTAAAAATAAATAAATAAATATATAAATAAATAAGGAAATAACAGACACAGTCACTCAAGTCACTTAGTCTAATACTTAGTCCAATGGGGGAATTCAGGAAAATCAACAGGTACACTCCCTTATGAGCAGAGCTAACATGGAAGTATGATGCTTAGGGGACCCCAGGAGAGACATATTTATTTTACTTTTCTAGGAAAAGAAAAAAATATGAGATTATAATTTTTACAAACAACTGAAGGCTACAGAGCTACTTAAAAATGCTTCTTGGGTGTATATGAAATCTTGAGGGTAGTTTTATATTCTCCATTATACAGATGAAGAAATTGAAGTAGGGAGAAGTTAAGTAACATGTCCAAAGTCACACTCGAGGTGTTGAAGCTGGGATTTAAGCCCTCCTAGCTGGGAACTGAGTCATTACTCTTAACCAATATACTAACTCAAGCATGAATTTATCATCAGATTTATCAACAGACTTAGTTGCCTGACATTTTTACCAGAACAATAATTCCTTTGAGATGAGATAGACATTCGAGACAGTCCCTCAAAAGCAAACTGTGGTCTTCCTATGCTCACAGTAAGCTTGTGGAATG